TGTTTAACTCACATGCCTGTACTTTGTTTGGCTGGAAACCACAGTTGTGGGTTCAATTCTAGACCTGAAGGGCAACTAGGGGCCATAGTCTCAGTAAGCACTTTATATTAACACCAGTTGCCATCAAGTTGATTCCAACTCATGGAGAACCCATATAATACAGGTAGTCCCTGACTTACAACGTATTCAAATTATGATGAACTGTACTTACGAATACCCACTTTTGCTTTTTTTTTTTTTTTTTTGGCATATCTTATTGTTAGTAATATGCACTACATACAATGTTGCAGCACAAAATTTGCTGATGTTGTCATTCTCATACCAACCCCAAATACAAAGATTAGATTTATAAAGATACTGATAATAAAAGCCAACAATAATGAAAACTAAAAAAAAAGGTATTTGACTTACGTCAGAACTGACAGAAGAAGGAGTTGTCAGAACAGAATCCCACTGTAAGTGGGAGAATACGTGTATACCTTATCTTATTTAATTTTCAGAATGATCTTATGAGGCAGGTAATATTATCTTTTTTTTTTTTTTTTTTTACGGAGGACAAAATGAAGGTTAGAACACCAAATATGCTCAAATAGAATAATGTCAGGTTTCTGTAATACTTATCCCAAGAGTTTACTGTGCCAACATTGCCTTCTTTCAAGTATCAAACAAACCAAACCCACTGCCATCAAGTTGGATACGACTCATAGTGACCCCTCCTTGGGTTTCCAAGGCGTTATCTCTACAGAAGTAGATTGGCCCATCTTTCTTCTGAGGAGTAGCTGGTGGATTTGAACCACCAGCCTTCTGCCTAGCAGTCAAATGCCTTAGGCACTACACCACTAGCATTAACATAATGAGCTTTACCACCAGGGGGCAGCATGTAAGTAAATGTGACAAATACACTTTCAAAACAAATCTCATAATTTAATTGAACAATCAGTCAATTACTAAATTCATGTTTCCCGACCAAATTCTATGTTGCCCATGGTATTTAGTGTTCAAGAGTGAAACGATGATTCTACTGAATCCCAAAATGAAGCCACATCCATTTTAGAGACTGTTAGATGTAGGATGCTAAGGCTCCCAGGTTTCCACATCTAAGAAGAGGAAAAAAGCTACATGGCTTCAAGGCCTCTTTTGACCACAGTTGATTCCTACACCCTTCCTGCTACCTGCCTCTGACAGCCTGCCCCATTTTACAGGAGTATTACCTTTCAGCTGGCAGAGAAGAGGGCCACCGAGAGCCTAGAACAGAGGTCCAGAATTTCCCATAAAAATCCTCCAAAACAAAGGCAGATGGAGAGCATGATATCTACAAGCTATACTGCTGTGGAAGCAACATACAATGGGACCCTCTATCAGGTACTCACTAAGTATGAGTTTGGGAGAAATTATATCATAGAGCTATCTCATTCTTCCTTACCTTTACCACTTCCAGCTCCTCCTTGCTGGCTGTCTGCTGTTTCTCCAGCCTAGTACTTAACTGGGAACAGATCTAAGGATTAAAAAAAAAAAAAAAAGAGTTTAATTACTAGAAAATAGAATGACTTGCAGCACACCATCATAACTGTTTATCAACTCATGTATTAACATCTCTGATCCTAGAACAAATTTTGCAAATGAGCAGTATTGCAAATGCCAATCACTTTTGCAATGAGCAGCAAAAAGCCCAAGAGGGTTCCATGGTAAAGCACATCTCTATCTTAACTGGTAGAAAAAAGACATAGAATAAATTTGGTTTCTTTCTGTGACCAGTTCCAGTGAATTCCTGATTTCACCTCAGAATCCATCTACAGAACCTTTGCTTAGTATTCACCTCATGGAAGGTGCTATGCTGGGAATCTGATGAAAAGAATTCTGAACTAGATACGTCTCCTGTCTACAGTCATAGAAATTTCCTTAAGAAGTGGTAGAGTGAAAAAAGCAACATTAAAACGGCTAAAAAATAACACAGACTGACACTATTATCAAGTGGCTTGGCAACACAGCATATAAATTAAAAGCTTAGGTGCTGGAGTTTCAGGCTGGTCCAGCTCTACTATTTTCTAGTTGTGTGACTGGGCAAATTCGTTCATCTTTCTAAGTCTCAGTTCTCCAATGTGTGAAATGTTGTGACAATCAAGTGGAAAATGTTATGCAAAAGGTAAGTATTGTGCCTGGCCTGTGCTCAATAAATAAGGTCTATTATTATTATTAGGAGCTCTGGTAGCATAGTGCCTAAGGCACTTGACTGCTAACCAGAAGCCTGGCGTTCAAACCCACCAGCCACTCCTCAGAAGGAAGATGGGGCAATCTACTTCCGTAGTGACTGTTGTTGTTGTTGTTATTTGCCATCAAGTCGGCCCCGACTCATAGCAACCCCTCCTTGGGTTTCCGAGGCAGTATCACTACAGAAGTAGTATTGCCCAACCTTCCTTCTGAGGAGTGGCTGGTGGGTTTGAACCGCCAACCTTCTGGTGAGCAATCAAGTGCCTTAGGCACTATGCTACCAGAGCTCCTGACAAGTACTAGGAACAGGTACAAAGGAACAAATTTCTGTTTAAAAAATACTGAATGTTCAAATCCACTGACTAAAATAGTCATCTTTTAGAAAAATGAAATTAAAACTGGTTAGGGAATGGCAGATTTTAAAAGGCAATCTGGGCTAAAATCAAAACAAACTGTTATCAAAACAAACTTTAAGGAAAAAACATAAAAAACAAAACAAAACAAAACAAAAAAACCCAGTCTACCCAAAAATAGCTTTAAAGGACAGGGCCTTCTTATTGAGTTCAGTCACCAATATCTTTGGCTCCAACCTTGGGGAACCATTAATAGGACTGTTAGTTAATTAATTAATTAATTAATGTAATAGAACTGTAAAAAGAAGCAATCTCTCCACTAGTTTTTGTGAACAATACACCCTTTCAAACTAAACCAAACCACTCTGAAATGCAGCCAGTAAAAGCCAACTCCAACTGTAGGATACATTTAGATTAAGTTTTAAATTCTAATTATTTTCAAACAGATGGGTCTGTTGTCTTTTATGTTACCTGACATGTTTGCTAGGTAATATTCAAGAATAGTCCCAAGGATTACTATTTGAAGAGTGCCACATATGGCAGCTGCCCATGACCCAGTGTGACAATGGAAAAAAAAAAAAAATGCATTTGCACACAGCACTTTTCTTTCATGTTCCTTGTATTGGCTAATGTCTAACTATTCCTCCCCCCACCTACCCAAACTCAAAATTTCACGGTCACTTTCAGTCATTTCCCTTGTCTAGCAAGAAACGACTACCTTCTGCTTCTCCATCTTCTCTATTTTCACTACTTATTTTGGTTCTGGAACTCATTTCTTCTCACCTGGACTAGTGCCAGCCTCTTTCTGGTCTGGTCTACATCCTTGCCTGTGGATCTCTCCACCTGGTTCTACAAACCTCACAGAGACAGATTAGTGCCAATACTATGTCTCTGACCATGCCACTCTCCTGCTAACCAACTCCTACTACCTTACAGAATAAAATCCTCCTTACCGTGGCCCTGAAGACCTTGCTTGATGTGGGCCCCAACTCACCTCTTCTTCTTTGCTGTACTCAAAACTCCTGCCAAGCCAAACTCTTTTCTGATTACACCCCAACCTCCATGCTATGTGCATATACTGTTCCCCTTCTTGTACCATCTCCCCATCTCCTTTTCTTTTTTATCCTGTCCTTGTCCATTTCCATATATCCAAATCTCATCTAGCCTTGTCACAGCTCCAATCATCCCTTCTCCAGGGTCTCCTCATTTCCCACATGTACTAAGTCCCCTTTCCTCTTATTTATGCACAGGTGTTATCTCCTCATTACAATATCAGCTTCTAAAGGGGAAAAACTGAGCCACATTAATTTATCTTTTTGTTGTCCAAAGTATTAAGCCTTAAGCAGGCGTTTAGTAAACACTGGCTGATTATGATAAAAGAGTAGGATATCTCTGAAGCCTTGTTTTTAAGCAATCTTCCATGAAACTGAGGAATCCTCATGAAAAAAGATCGATAATATATGAAGTGAACTAAAAGTTAGTTTCAAAAAACAGTATGAACAATAATTTTTACTTAACTAGCAGCAATTTATACTCAATATTGCCTCTAGTTGGCAAGATTAAGGAAGATTTGTTTCTTTGTGTTTTTTCATACTTTTCTCATTTTTTACCAGGAGCCCTGATGGCTCAGTGGTTAAATGCTCAGCTGCTAACCTAAAGGTCAGCAGTTCAAAGCCATGAGCCGCTCCACAGGAGAAAGATGTGGAAATCATTTCCATAAAGATTACAGCCTTGGAAACGGTATGGGGCATTTCAACTTCACAGTAGTGGGTAATGGGTAATTTTCTGCAATGAACATACATTTCACTTTAAGGAAAACAAAGTAAAACATTAAAACAACAACAATAACACAAACTGAGCATCAGATTTCAAACTCCTATGTGAGGCAGGAGATCCAAGAGAAATCTTTGGATCAGAAGATGGTATAGGGTGCCTTTAATTCTAGAAACCTGGAATTGGATCAATCTACTCAGGGTCTTTTTAGGAGTAGATGGAGTCCTTGCCATGTTCCCAGCATGACCAAGTGGGACAAGAAGATAGCATTGGAGCTGGAATGAGGACTTTCTGGGACCACCCTGGAGAGGGTAGGAACATCCTCAAAGACATAGAGCCCTTTGAAACAGGATTTTACAGTGTATGATAGTCAGTTTCCTGCTAGTGTTGCCTGCAGTGGGTAAGACCACACTTACCATGTGGGACAAAGGGCTCTACATTCTGTCCTGAGACTGCAAACGATAAACTGATCCCTTTGCTATTTATTTAATACAGTCACTTAACATTAGTCCTTGGTAAAGACACAAAAGCTACTATTGTGATCTATGGGATATTAGCTTCTGAGAAGGACAGAGACAGGATCCCAATGGCAATAATAAGGCTGCTAGTCCCTTTTCATCTACCCAACATTATAAACAACCAACGTATTGCTTTGATCAGTCAGACTTCCCAATTAAAAGCAAGGATGTCCACCCACAGTCTATTTCAGAGCAGACAGTGAGCCACCAAATTTAATGGATCTATAGTCATTGTTCTGGAAATTCTAAACACAAAAATGTCTTTTCCCCAAAGAAAATCAAAAACAAAAAACAGCTTCTATAGCAACAAAAACCATAGTGGCATATTACCTGTTTATACTCGGCAATGATAGCTGTAGTTTTCTTTATTTCATATTCTGCCTTCTCCAGCTGTTTCCTGAAGACCTCTTTTAGCTAGAAAGAGTGTGGATGAGTCAGGGTTCAGCTGAAATCTTAATAAATTTTGAGAACCATATATATTCACATCTGCCTGATTCATAGTCAATGACAATGTAAACAACCATGACCATACAGAATTTTCCCATCAAAGTTACCTCTTGATAATTTGAAAAACCTAATCCTTTGCAAAGATGCAGAAATTTCACTCTTTCCCTGTGAAGTATATGAACAATCTTATTATAAAATGGCTATGCCAACTACTTATTTTATTAACATATTAGTAATTATGTATCCCATTCAGAATCTTTACCCTTATCGGGATCTAAAAACATCAAGGAAACATTGCATATACTATTACTCTTGACATTATATTATCAATTTTTGTTTGTTGTTATGTGCAGTTGAGTCGGACCCGACTCACAGCGACCCCTCCTTGAGTTTCGGAGGCAGTATCACTACGAAAGTAGATTGCCCCACCTTCCTTTTGAGGAGTGGCTGGTGGGTTTGAACCGCCAGCCTTCTGGTTAGCAGTCAAGTGCCTTAGCTACTATGCTACCAGAGCTCCTATATTATCAAATTAGTGGTGCAAAAAAAAAAAAAAAAAAATGTAGGCCCATTCATAGACTGCTACTGCCACTGCTGTTACTTCTCTTAAGGTAGGGAAGAAGAGGCTTTTGGGATTGGAGACAGAAGAAGATGAAGTAAAAGTTCTTGGGAAGGACAGGAAATTCAGGGACCAAAGTAAATGACTTTAGAAGGAGCTATGGTCACACATAATGCAGGTACTTGTTATGGTCACTCAATGTTAAATTCTAAGTGCACACTTAGAACCACGGTTACTTTTGTGGCCTAGGACTCTAGAATTCTAGGTGCAGGGGAAGGTTAAGGTGATTAAGAGCTCAGATGCCAGCAGATGAAAAGGAAAAATTCAATTCTTTCAATTTTTGAACAAACAAAAATTAACTCTGCTTAACCTTTAAGCACAAAATCAGAAAAAATAGATGGATTCTGTATTGCAGCATCCCAAGTTATTAACAGGGTGTACTCTATTGGCTAATTCATAAGTTGGTATAATTTATAATTGGGTTCCTTATCACTAGAAGATTTCTAAATGTCTTTATAGCTGCTACATTCTAAAAGCAATTTGTTGTTGTTGTTGTTGTTAAGTGCCATTGAGTCGGCTTCAACTCACAGCAACCCTACGTATAACAGAACAAAATGCTGCCCTGTTGTGGGCCAGGCTCACAATCTTTGCTATACCTGAGCCCATCGTTGCAGCCACTGTGTTAATCTATCTTCATGAGGGCCTTCCCCTTTTACGCTGATCCTCTACAATTTGTAGATTATATTTATTCAAACTTAGTTGTTTAGTCTATTTTCTAACTTACATAATTTGGCATAAAAATAACCCTCCTATGATAATGCCACATGAACTTCAGGAAAGGCTTAGCTAGTGGAGAGACTCCTGAGCAGGTTTCATTTATTTAAGCCATGGTTTCCTCATCTGATAAATGAGAATAATTCCTATCTCATAAGGGTACCACAATGGAGAATATAGATAGATAGATAGATAGATAGATAGATAGATAGGAGCTCTGGTGGTGTAGTGCCTAAGGCACTTGACTGCTAACCAGAAGGTTGGCAGTTCAAACCCACCAGCCACTCCTCGGAAGGAAGATGGGACAATCTACTTCCATAAAGATACTGCCTCAGAAACCCAAGGAGGGGTCACTATGAGTCGGGTCTGACTCGATGGCACATAACAACAACAAATACACACACACACACACACACACACATATGGAGAATGCCAAGCTTCTTGGATTGTTTTTGGCACATACTGGGTAAGTGTTCAGCAAATGTCACATCCTTTCCCCTTTTAGGTTTCAATACTCAAGGGCCACTATATGAATGTGGAACTGTGGGACAGGGAGAACATGAGTAACTAACCAACATTCATTTGACAAGAGCTTTCACTCCACCTAAAGTACTGAAGTGGCCTAATGAAGGCAAGAGGTAAAGAAAAAAGCAAACAGGCCTAGATAAACTAAAAACTAGATTGTCAACCCCAGACAAATTTTGAGTTGGTAAGAAAAAATATTGGGCCATATAGAAATGCCAATGATTCAGTTCATTGTTTTCTAATTGGAGGAAGACATCACTAAATACTTTTTATAATGACACAATCCTCCTTCACATGTAGCTTTACTAGAACTTTTCCAGTTCTTGGATATGCATAGGCCTTTAAAACGCTTTGTGCTCTGTTATTTATTTAGCATTACTGATGTCTCAGAATAACATTCATTAAAATAGTAAGTTAATAATCATGATTTAAGAAGGTTCTTCCCTTTATAAGTTAATTACATTAGTAACAATCAAATACTCCTTTGCCAGTGGACTTCACTCAGTTTTGAGAAAAATCTAAACTGTGTCAGCCTCCTGACTGGTGCTGTTAGGGATGGAGATCATGGCTGAAGTCGCCTCTTTTTCCTCACAGAAGGGGGAGCTTCCAACCCCTTAGGCTGGGAAGCCCTGTGTAGTGCCTGAGGCATTTGACTGCTAACCAGAAGGCTGGCAGTTCAAAACCATCAGCCATTCCTAGGAAGGAATAGCAGGCAATCTACTTCTGTAGAGATACCACCTGGGAAACCCAAGCAGGGGTCGGTATGAGTTGGAACCTACTTGACTTGATGGCAGTGAGTTTGGTTTTCGTTTTGTAACAGTGGTATCTTCCAGCTGATTAGCTTCAAAATTCACACAGACTGAAGGGTGGGAGCTGGTTCCCACAGGGGTTTCTTTTTATACCCACAGGGAATAAATATAATGTTTGAGTGCTCTGCCAGGAACACTGGCACTTCTTCCAAGGCACAAGTCAGGAAAATTAAGCATAACTGAGGGAGGCAGAGGCTGTGTGGCGACTCCCAGCGGAGATCTCCGCAGGTTTTCAGCTTAACAGTCCTGATAAATGACTTCAGAGAAGTCAATTATCCTGGACATACGACATGAAATTCGCAGATTTGTCAAAGCTCTTAGATCATAATTCTAAGTTACTAAACTTAGAGAAAACTCCACACTCTTGCTAGACATCTCAGCTAAGGCAGATTCCTACAAGCTATTCAAGGGCAGAAAGGCTGCCTCCTCTTCTAACACCTCCAAAAGAAGTTGTTGAGTCTCAGTGCTACTAACATTTACTTCTTGTTTATTTTATAGTTTTAATCTTCTCTCTACCAATTTACCTATGTAAAGAAAAGCCCACATACACCTTTTACCTGGGCAGTCTCTTCCTCTTGCTTTCTCTTCTCTTCCTCAGTCTCTACCAGCCTCTGTTTGGTCAGGAGGAGTTCCTTATTCAACACATCGGCCTTGTCTTCTGCCTGCAAATGAAGGCACACCACAATATAAAGAGGGTGAAGGAGGCATGTGCATATTTCCTCCAGACCATTCCCAGTCTTCAGTTATTGTTCCAGTATCACTGCAAGCCACTCTTTTCCCTCCTGGCTTGCCTTGGGGATGACTGCTTTCATTGAATGCCAACTATATACCAGGCACTTTGCATACAATACATTATCTCTAATCCTCACACAATAATTATTTTATAGATAACAGAAGTGAAGTTAGAGAGATTAAATAATCTGACTAGGGTCACACATTTAATATCACAGCCATGATCTGAATTTAGATTTGAATGACATCAAAGTCCCTGCTCTTTCTAAATGGCTCTTACACATTTTCCTCAGATGTCATATCAGTAACTCACTGAGAAACTGTACACATGGATCTGATGAAGGGGTAGAGCCTCATATAGAAGCTTCTGGGTGGTGGTACTCAGGGGTGGATTCAAAGAGGATGAGCAGATAGGCTGATCTCTGGACAACAGTTAGGTGAGAAAATTCACAGATAAGCTGAGGTAAACTGACTCACAAGCCACTCACACAGGATAGCAAGTACTGTGAGGAGAAATTAAGACCAGAAACCAGTGGTCAGATCGCCATGAGGAAATATGAAGTATAGACCAAGAGTCCAGACAGAAAAGACCATATTTCTAGAACGGCCAGGAAGACCTCAGAGAGAACTCTGGTTTTAACTTGAATGCAGAGGCAAAATTAATGATGAAAGCACTGTGTGTATATTTAACATGGTAGGTACATTTAACTTAATTGGGAGCTCTAGTAGCGTAGTTGGCTGCTAACCAGAAGGCTGGCGGTTCAAACCCACCAGCCACTCTTCAGAAGGAAGGCTGGGCAATCTCCTTCCATAGTGATACTACCTCGGAAACCCAAGGAGGAGTCGCTATGAGTCGGGGCCGACTTGACGGCACATAACAACAACAACAACAACTTCATCCCACACACTTTGGACATGTGATCGGGGGGATCAGTCCCTGAAGAAGGACATTGGTAAAGTAGTGGGTCAGCAAAAAAGAGGATGTTTCTCAAAGAGATGGATTGACACAGTGGCTGCAATAATGAGCTCAAACACAGCAATGATCGGGAAGATGGTGCAGGAGCCGGGTAGTGTTTCGTCCTGTGGTACACAGGGTCACGAGGGCTTGGAACTGACTCAATGACACCTAACAATAACAATAATGGGTATGTTTTACAGTTTAGGCCCCTCACCTCATCTTTTAGGTCTCAGCTTCAAGTGCATGCCCACACAGCAGTATTCCTGAGCCCTACATTACTAAATCAGTTCACCCCGATCTAAATTAGTTCCCTGTTTAAATCTCTCATTATTTTCCTTGACAGCATTTAGCACAATCTATAATAACAAATTAAACATGTGATTTGCCTTGCCACAGGACTGTAAACTCCAGGAGACACAGATGAGGGCTCTTTTGCTAATCATTATACCCCCACTACCAAACATAGTGCCTGGCACAGAGTGGGCACTCCCCTTAAGTATTGGGGCAATGAATGGATGTGGCTAAGTCAGTGCAGAAGAGACTGTGTTTCGCAGACATGGCAATAGCACAGGGCCACAGGATGAGTTCAGCAGAGAAAACCACAGACCCAGAAGAGAGGCAGCTATTTGAAGAAGGTACCTCTGGCTGTCAGCAGCAAAATGTTATCCAAGTATCGTGAAAACTGGCCAGGTTGCCTTCTGTCTGTGTTTCGCCTTATCTTCCACATGTCCAGATGGCCTGACCAGCAGTATGCTGGATACTGGCAAAGAAATTATGCTCCAGTTTCTCTGTTTTCACTATCTTAAAGCTGCTGATGTCCCATATCCCAGTGGTTATAACTGTTATCAGGTAATTTTCAACTGCTAGATAGCCAAGGTGAAAAAGATCCTTTTAAAGACTCTGAAATTTATTGTGATGTATTAGATTTTAGGGTGAGGGGAACCTGCACAGCAAAAGAACACACTAAAATAAGAGGCAGATCTCAAAAAATGCAACACTTAGGTTGCAAGTTAAGTTTTCATAAATTTTAACATATTTGATGAAGATTATGGGAGCTCAAAACTGAGAATCCCAGAGCTGCAAGTCAGACGGGAGAGCCCCCCGCTGGATGTCCCTCAAGTCTTAGAGCTGCTGTAACTGCTTCAGGTCCTACCCCAGAACGGTCTTTATCTGAGCAACAGCCCTGCTACTAAGTAAGATTGCAATGAATTCTCTTCTTACAGTAAGTACCCCCAGCAATTTCCGTTTTGTGAAAAGAATCCTTTAAAAATATTAACACTGTGAAGTAAATCTGTTTTTTAAGTTCAGTTTCTTGAAAAACTTACCAATAATTTTAGCTTTCTATAATCTTTTGAAGTCAGCCTAATTGTTAATAAACATCTAAATATTTATGCTGCGATGACCTACTATTTTCATTTACACATTTCCTGCTGAATAATCTTCACTAGGTCAAAGTATAGCAACCTCACTATTTCTGTTGCTATCAGATCTGACATCTGCAGCGATTGATGTGGGTCCCATATGGGAGGAAGCCACAGTTTCACAGGAAGCTTCATCCAAAGGCATCCCTCTCTGTTAAGTAGTGAAGTAGGAGCAACCTTCTGCTTATTAAAAGAGAACAACATCTGAAATAACTTGTTGTTGTTGTTAAGTGCCGTCGAGTCGTTTCCGACTCATAGCAACCCCATGCACAGCAGAACGAAACACTGCCCGATCCCGCACCAGCCCCACAATCCCTGCTATACTCGAGCCCATCATCGCAGCCACTGTATCAATCCATCTCGTTGAAGGCCTCCCCCACTTTCGTCGACCCTCCACCCTACCAAGCATGACATCCTTCTCCAGGGAATGGTCCCTTCTTACAACATGACCAAAATAGGTGAGACGAAGTCTGGCCATTCTTGCTTCCAAGGAGCATTCTGGCTGCACTTCCTCCAGGACAGATCTGTTAGTTCTTTTAGCAGTCCATGGTACTTTCAGCATTCTTCGCCAGCACCACAACTCAAAAGCATCAACTCTTCTTCAGTCTTCCCTATTCATTGTCCAGCTCTCACATGCATACAAGGTGATTGGAAATATCATGGCTTGTGTCAGGCGCACCTTAGTCCTCAAGGAGATATCCTTGCTCCTCAGCACTTGAAAGAGTTCCTTCGCAGTTGACTTTCCCAATGCTACACGTCGTCTAATGTCCTGACTGCTGCTTCCGTTGGCATCGATTGTAGAACCAAGCAATGTGAATTCCTTGACAACCTCAATCTTCTCTCCATTGATTGTGATGCTGCTCATTGGTCCAGTTGTGAGGATTTTTGTTTTCTTTATGTTGAGATGTAATCCATACTGCAGACTGTATTCTTCAACCTTCATCAGTAGGTGCCTTAAGTCATCCTCACTTTCAGCAAGCAAAGTTGTATCGTCTGCATATCTCAGGTTGTTAATGATTCTTCCTCCAATCCTGATACCACGTTTTTCTTCATATAGTCCAGCTTCTCGGATTATTTGCTCAGCATATAGATTGAATAAGTGTGGAGAAAGAATACAACCCTGACGCATTCCCTTCTTGATTTTAAACCATGTAGTGTCCCCTTGTCTTCCCATTAAAAACTCTGGTGGTATAGTGCCTAAGGCACTTGACTGCTGCTAACCAGAAGGTTGGTGATTCAAACCCACTAGCCACTCCTCGTAAGGATGATTGGGCAATCTACTTCTGTAGTGATACTGCCTTGGAAACCCAAGGAGGGGTCGCTATGAGTCGGAGATGACTCAATGACACATAAAAACAACAACCCTTTAAAAATGGTCTTCTGTATCTTTGCACTGTCAATATTTATACCTCACCTAAGTAGATATCATCACTAATATTCAATGAAGGTCTAGGAATGTAATACCAAACAGATAGATATTCAAATTCTATCTCTGAATCCAAATGGTAAAACCTTCACTGGATTTTGATAATAATAACACTGAGTTGAACATTATCATTATTGATACAATGTCTCTGAATCTCTTACCAACATCTTATAACATCTGATTGATACTGTAACTTGTAATTGCCATCTAAGGCTTCTGAGACAGGCACTGCAACGTGCGATTTGATCATACCTAAACTGACAACCTGATCAAAAGGCTCAGCTCTAATATTAGAGGTCAGGGCCTTTCAGAAATGATTTCTGGAAGAACTGGCAAAGCTAGTTGTTCAATTTAAAACAGAACAAAATACTTCTCTATCTAGCCTATGTACTATCTGGTCTAGTACAGAACTTGCTATTGTTAGAGGGAACCTAGACACAGCCCTCAGTGGCAAGTACTAGCTGTATGTTTTCTCTTTTGCTCCTTGGGAACAAGGAAGGACAAGAAGGGGGACTGAAAGCAGGCAGGAAGAGAGACTGAAATAGCGATGCTGTCTTTTCTCCTTCTGAATCCCCGAGAAGCCCTATTTAAGGAGTCTGAGAGAGGGCAAGTTGTCAAAAGGGAAGGCTTCTGGAAGAGAAAATGGAAGAGCCTTTGATGCCCAGGAAGCTGGGAACCAACGTTAAAGACAAAGGTAAGGAATGACTTATTGAAAAAGTACCTAATTACCTAATTAGTGTTTGTTTGCTTTACATATTGTCTCAAATACAATCTGCTTTCATGGTTGACTATAATGTTTGCCAAAGTTTTGCTGTTTTGATTAAGACATCTGATTTTTGATAAACTGGGAATGGAAAAGTATGGGGCAAACTGGGTGAAGGTAGGCAAAGCTGGTGTCTTAACTCCCTGGCTGTGCCCTTCTTCGAAGACTTGTGGGGGCGGGCAAGAAACCTAAACTGCAGGGACTGCTTTTTGAGAGGCAAATAAGCCCTGCAGAGGCAGAAACTGCAACATTGGAAGTTAGGAGTTGATGTGCATGCAATAGCAGCTTTTGTTTTTTTCTGTCATCTATATAATACGCTTCAAAAGGCTGGGTCCAGGTCTTAATTCATTTGTTAAAAAAAAAAAAAAAAAAAGAGAGAAGAAAAGAAAAGTATTAATGTGGAAGAAAGAAGGGAAGTGAGAAGGAAGAAATGAAGGAATCTTTTTTGAATTGATTGGTACCCACATGAGGTACCCAGACTCAATAATCAATGATTGCAAAAGTACTCTTAACTGTAGTCATTCTAGACTAATCCAAGAAAAGCATTCCCTCGGTGGTAAACTCATTTTAAAAATCATTTTGTTTCTGATTATGACAAAGCTGCCCTGCTGTGAACTGCCATTGAGTTGACTCCGACTCACACCCCCATGTGTGCAGAGCAGAACTGCTCTGTGGGGCTCCTAAGGCTGTGGCCTTTCAGAAGCAGATCGCCAGCCCTGTCTTCTAAGGAGCCTCAAAGTGGCTCTGAACCACCAACCTATTTGGCTAGTAGTCCAGCACTGTTTGGTTCACCCAGGAAAAAAATGTTATAATGTGTATTAATACTTAGCCAAGGGTGCTTAGTATTCAAGGTCTTCCTATAAATAATAAATAGTTGAAAATGCAAAAGTATAATGATGAATATAAAAATTAGATTTTATTTTATGCAAAAAGAGACCTGCTGGTAACATTTTGATGTATTTCCTAGGAGCTCTGGTGGCATAGTGCCTAAAGCATTTGACTGCTAACCAGAAGGCTGGTGGTTCAAACACACCAGCTACTCCTCGGAGGTAAGACTGGGCTATCTACTTCCGAGGTAATATCACCTTGGAGACCCAAGGAGGGGTTTCTGTGAATCAGATCTAACTTGATGGCAGTGAGTTTGTTTTTGATTTTGGTATATAGATATATTTTATTCTCTTTCCCAACCAGATGGCCCCATTCTATCTAACATCTTTTTCAACTTAGATGCAGTTATACACACATAAACCTGTGGTTTTTAAAATACCGTTATGTCATTTTCTTCCTATCATTTAACTGTTGTTGTTAGGTGCGGTTGAGTCATCCCTGACTCATAGTAACTCTATGCACAGCTGAATGAAACACTGCCAGGTCCTGTGCCAGCTCCGCAATCCCTGCTATACTGAGCCCATTTGCTGCAGCCACTGTGTCAATCCATCTTGTTGAAGGCCTTTCCCCCCCTTTCGTCAACCCTCCACCTTATCAAGCATGACATCCTTCTGCAAGGAATGGTCCCTTCTGACAACATGAGCAAAGTAGGTGAGATGAAGTCTGACCATTCTTGCTTCCAAGGAGCATTCAGGCTGCACTTCCTCCAGGACAGATTGGTTAGTTCTTTTAGCAGCCCATGGTACTTTCAGCATTCTTCTCCAGAACCACAGCACAAATGCATCAGTTCTTCTCTGGTCTTCCTTATTCATTGTCCAGCTCTCACATGCATATGAGGGCTTGAAAATATCATGGCTTTTGTCAGGTGCACTTTAGTTAGTCCTCAAGGACACATCTTTGCTCTTCAGCAACTGAAAGCAGTCCTTTGCAGCCAACTTGCCCAGTGCTATATGTCGTCTGATGTCCTGACTGCTGATTCCATTGGCATTGATTGTAGAACCAACCAATGTGAAGTCTCTGACAACTTCAATCTTTTCTCCATTTATCGTGATGCTGCTTAGAGGTCCAGTTGTGAGGATTTCTGTTTTCTTTATATTGAGGTATAATCCATACTGCAGACTGTATTCTTCAATCTTTATCAGTAAGTGCTGCAAGTCATCCTCACTTTCAGCAAGCAAAGTTGTGTCATCAGCAATCTCAGGTTGTTAATGATTCTCCCTCTAATCTTGATGCCACATTCTTCTCCATATAGTCCAGCTTCTTGGATTACTTGCTCAGCATATAGATTGAATAAGTATGGGGAAAGGATACAACCCCGACACACTCCCTTGTTGTAAACCATGAAGTGTCCCCTTGTTCTGTTTGAATGACAGCCTCCTGGTCTATGTACCATTTCCTCATGAGTACAATTAAATGTTCTGGAATTTCCATTCTTCTCAATGTTATCCACAATTTGTTATGATCTACACAATCAAATGTTTTTGCAAAACACAAACACAAATAAACATCTTTGTGGTATCCTCTGCTTTGAGCCAAGATCCATCTGACAGCAGCTGTGATATCCCTCGTTCCATGTCCTCTTCTGAATCCAGCCTGCACCTCTGGAAGTTCTCTGTCAATATACTGCTGCAATCATTTTTGAATTATCTTCAGTTAAGATTTTACTTGTGTGCAATATTAATGATAATGTTCGATAATTTCCATATTCTGTGTGATCACCTTTCTTTGGAATGGGTACAAATATGGATCTCTTCCAGTCAGGTGGCCAGGTAGCTGTCTTCCAAATCTCTTGGCATAACTCAGTGAATGCCTCCAGTGGGGCATCCATTTGTTGGAACATCTCAATGAGTATTCCGTCAATTTCTGGAGCCTTGTTCTTCAGCAATTCCTTTAGCGCAGCTTCGACTTCTTCCTTCAATATCATTTGTTCTTGATTATATGCTATCTCTTGAAATGGATGAAGATCGACTACTTCTTTTTGGTACAGCGACTCTGTGTATTCCTTCCATCTTCTTTTGATGCTTCCTGTATCATACAATATTTTGCCCATAGAATCATTTAACTACTCCTCACCTACTATTGGACATATACGTTCTTTGGTTTTTTTGGCTTTTAATAGTAGTGCTGCAGTAAATATCCTTGTACATGCAAGTGTGACCACATCCCTGACTTTGCTTAGGCAAATCTGAAATCAGAATACATATGTGCCAGTTTCCTCATTTATAAAATTGGGGATTGAAGCGATACCTGCTTCACTGAATCAGGAAGACTTAAATGGGATAATGCTGAATATAGAGTTTGCCACATACAAAGTACTCAGTAAATATTTACCTTTATTGTTATTTTAAACATTTTAAAGACTTGGTAAATGCTACTAAATTAATTTCCCAAACAAATGTATCAATGTACACCTCTTGTTAGATTATTTTATTGCATTTTCACTGAATCTAACTTGTTTTTTTCCACTTAGCAAGTCATCTTAAGAAAATGAATAATGAATAAAAGATTCAAAATGGCAGAATCAAATGTGAGTCAAGGCAATTTGGAAAGGTGATTTGAAACCAAGCCTTTATTATGGTATATCCGACTTGTTACTATAATGTCATTAATATGAAAGTGTAACTGCTGAGGGGCAGGTTGTGTCTGGCCCTGATCAAATGAGGACCCCACTACAGTCTTGTTCTGAAAGGTTCAGTCATACTTTCCTTCTAACACTTTCAACAACTTTTGAGTGAGCTAGTGGAATGGGGTTTGTGGTTAAAAGGCCCAGATTAAAAAAATATATATATCATTTTTCCTGCTTTCTACATATGTGTCCTGAGCAGCGTAGTTTTGTTTTGTTTTCGTTTTTTAAATTTCATTTAGTGCTGACTCTCTCAGCTTTCCCCTCTTTTCCTGTAGCACAGTTTTCCTTAACACTGCTCTTATCTCCCAGCTTACTGCTGTGGAAACTTTTTAGCTACAAAACTAGCTGTATAAACAGAAAGGGAATTGTGGTAAGAACCATTTTCAGCCATCCTTTTATTTTGTGCATTCAAGCAGATTTATGTTAATAATGAATTTGTCTTGTAAATATTGTCCATGCATAGTTAGAACACAGTAATGACTTGCTTTCACAGACTCAACGACAGTCTGGAACCCAATTTTTCTGACCCTGAACCACCTACTGGAAATACTAACTTATTAAAAAACAGAAAATAGAAGGATGATTTTAAATCTGCACACGACTTATTTCGTATTGCCAATTACCTGTGAAAATGCTAGCAATGGAAAACAGGGGGTTCTAAGGTTGTTATCTCTGTTGAAAAAAGCAAGGAGGAATTAATTTAAGGTCTTCCTAGCAAGAGCCAACAATCACTGAACACTTACTATTGAAATGTTTTAGTTTATTTTATTCTCACAACACCACTATTTTATATCTATTGACAAGTTAAGAACTGCCTGAGGTTGCAGGTTAGTAAGTGGTGGCACTAGGAGTCACATCTAGGAAGTTTGGGTCTTAGCCAATAAGGTGTCTGTCAATCCAACAATACACAAATCTGAATGTTATATATTTCATATAAAATCTTTACATTTAAAGTCAAGGAAAGGTTCATATAGGGAAGGAAACATTCTCTGTTGGTTAACAGGGGTGGGAGGGGTGGAGAGGGTAGAGTAAGCAGAGCTCCTCATGTCACTTTAGTTTTGTGTATTTCAATGTACATAAATTATATTTCAATAAAATGCATTAAAAAAAAAAGAAAAAATCTTTATATTTATTGTAGCTAAGACTTACTGAAACAAAAAGTAAAGTGTCTACCAGTACTGCAATGGCATTAGTATACTTGTGAAGGAGCTGTGGTGGTGTAGTGCCTAAGGCATTTGACTGCTAACCACAAGGCTAGTGGTTCAAACCCACCAGTCAATCCGTGGAAGGAAGATGGGGCAACCTACTTCCGTATTGATACCGCCTGGGAAACCCAATGGGGGTTGCTATGAGTTGGGACCCACTCAATGGCAGTGAGTTTGGTTTGGTTTGGAGCATACTTGTGATGACTGATATTCTTGGGTAATTATGCAGGCAGCCCTTGGTTTAGGAAAAGTACAGATGAAAAGGAGAGACAACAGAGAAGTTTGGAAGGGTAAAAAAAAAATACGACACCCATGCTGCTCGGAAATGACCTAAAACTTTCTGAAAGGCTCGTGTTTTTCACCCTCTAAAATCAGCACATACACTCTCCTCCCCACTTGCCATTCACCAATCAAGCAGCTCACTCAACACAGTGTCAACTGCAGAGTAAGCCCCAGTGGAATAAAGGTGAGTGCAACTTGATCCTTGCCCTTGTAGAGGTCGTCACAGTCTTACTTCTACCCAGGGAATGATAAGCTTACCTGGTCCAAGTCATTTCGCAGAGCGATTTTGCTGGTTACAAGTTCATGGGCAAGGTCATCATTTTCTTGCTCCAACCTCATGCTGGCTTCCTGTAATCTCCGGTTCTCCCTCTGCAGGAATAAAGCAACAGCCACAGGTAGGCATTAGTGCCTGGCCATACTAGCAGAAACAAAATGGAATTGGTGGGGGAAAACAAGCAACAACAAAGTGAACTTTTAAGGGTGTAAAAGGAGAAGGCAGAAGTGGCACAGGAAGGCAGGACTGCTGTCTGGGAAACAACGGTGAGGTAAGCGAGCGGTGCAGATGCAGAACTCAACACAGTGAATCTATACCCTCCCGACATCACTTCATTGTAGAAAATGTGTCACAAATAGCAAAATTTCCAAAGACACCCCCAATCCTGTGAGGTTTTCATATGGACCTAGAACAGATGCAATTTTTTGTAACATGCACAATAGTCCCTCAAGGGAAACTTCAGGACACAGTAGAGATGGATGAGAGGGCAATCTCTAGACATTTCTTCAAATTGTTTTTCCAAGATAAGAGTTCAAATTAATTGAGTATATTTGAGAGTACTAAATCAAGAATCAGGACACCTATATTGATGCCTTTGGTACCAACAGACATTTTCCTTCCTTGTATAAGAATATATTTACTCTTCTGAAACCTGATTTTTGTGTTGGTGAAAGCAGTAGTCCTTACAATAATGTCTCTAAATGTTTGCTTTGGTTCTCTCAACCTCAGAATAAAGGACTCTGGGTAAAATAAGTCACTGAGTTGATATGCATCCCCTTGCAATTCCAAGGAAAAATCTAAAACAAAGTTGTAAGGTCAAGACAATCCAGCCATTAATTCTGATGAAGCAAGATCTCCTCTGACTAACCATTCTGAACTGAGTATTTCACATCTATTTTCAGAATAGCAATTTAGTGTCTTCCATTCCAAAGTACCAAAAGTGCTTTCTTTGCTACTATTAGCAGTTGCTGGAGATTCAAAAGCAAGCTGACAGGAAAGACTTCAATATGATGAGACCTTCCTGTTTTTCAGATTTACAGTCCTAACAGTGCTTTCTGCAAGGGTGGCAAAAATTCAAACAAAGCAGTGCTACAAAACAGAAGACAAATCTATCTATGCATGGGAAGACAGCACATCATAGCATATTGGGTGGTGTGAGGTTAATTTTATTTTCTATAAAACAACTTGGTGTTTTGTTATTTTCAAAGAACAAAATCTAACTTTTTCTTCTTCTTCTTCTTTTTTTTTTTTAAAGAAGGGCAATAAAGACTCTCAGGAAGGCTAAGAATCACAAAAGAGGCAAGGCCAGCCAGAGAAACTAAAGGAAGACCCTATGCTTTGGCTGAAACAGGCTTATGGAATTCATTCTTATCTTTCCTTTTGGGAAACATAGATTGGCTAGTTGGGAAATGTAAAAATGTTCTTGAAAAAGATAAATTTAAAAACAATCCCAAATCACTTATATATACTTTCAAATAAATCCATGACAGACTTGCACACAGTGTTAAAATATCTAATGACAAAGCAAATGCTTACGCTACTCTGTAGAAAAAATATATCTCTAACTGAATAATTCCATTTTTATAACAATATAAACAACAGACATTAACTGTGAGTGGTTGTTGTTGTTAGGTGCTGTCAAGTCGGTTCCGACTCATAGCAGCCTTGTGTGTGACAGAACAAAACACTGACCGATCCTGTACCATCCCAACAATTGTTGGTACATTTGGTCATTTTAAGTCATGTCACATCAGCAAATGAAGGTCCCGAAAGCTTTACTCCATCCACATCATTAAGGTCAACTCTACTTTGAGGAGGCAGCTCTACCCCAGTTCTATTTTGAGTGCCTTCCAACCGGAGGGGCTCATCTTCTGGCACTGTATCGGTGTTCCACTCCCATCCATAAGGTTTTCACTGGCCAGTTTTCTCAGAAGTAGAGCACCAAGTCCCTCTTCCTACTCTTAGTCTGGAAGCTCTGCTGAAACCTGTCTACCATGAGTGACTCTGCTGCTATTTGAAATATCAGTGGCACAGCTTCTAGCCTCACAGCAAAATGGAAGCCACCCCAGTATCACAAACTGACAGACTACTGGTGGTAACTGTGGGTAGTCTTTTAAAATGTTTCCAAGTTTTCTACAGCGAATACATAATACATTTGTAACTGTTTTTTTTTTTTTTTTTTTTTTAAATGAAAAGCAATTCAGAATCTCCATTATACTAAAGGGATAAGTGCCAAAATGAGAAATATTTGTAAGTCCACTCCTGTTAGAAACTCATATTGTACAGTAAACCATACTCCATCTTCTTTTGTGACCAATATATATAGTAACCCCTCAAAACTGCTGCCTTGCCAGTAAACCCTTCTCAAGATGTGCCTAAAAAGACAGTATACATATTTGTAGGAACAAATTGTACTCATCAAATTCTCCTGTTCTCTCATGCTCCCATAGAAGTGTGATAAGAGTGGAGACTAAAATATATTTAAAAAGCCAGCTTACACAATTAAAATATTTTAGTCTTTGCTGAGGTAACCTAAATTCTGGGGTGCAAAAGTTAGCCTTTTATTCTAACTACATATAAAAGTATTATCTATATAAGTAATATAAGATACAATATTTTATAAGATAGTATGTCATATATATATGAGCTCTGGTGGTGCAGTGCCTAAGGCATTTGACTGCTAACCAGGAGGTTGATCGTTCAAACCCATCAGCCACACTGTGGAAGGAAGATGGGGCAACTGACTTCCATAAAGATTTACTGCCTTCGAAACTCAATGCTATGAGTCAGAATTGACTCGATGGCAGTGAGTTTGGTTATACACATATAAAACCAAACATACAATACATATATTATCATATATATATATATATATATTATATATATATAACTTTTGTGGGGACAACCTATATGTTTGTTTAAAATTTAGATTAATAAAAACATTGTTTCAGAAACTTTTTCAATAAATTTCTTCATTGCCAGGAAGGAGACTGTATACCCACTACCCAGCACAATTTCAACACAACATATTTTGCAATGCAGACTGCTTACACAGGGACGAGATTTTTCTCATTTCTTGGTAAATATCTTCAAAACAGAACAAGATAAGACTACTCCAATACCTATTTCTAAGTGTCCTGTCTCTACTGAAATTTTACCTGCAGAACTCCAAAGCAAAAAAAAAAAAAAAAAACTTTCTCAACTAGAATTGACATTAACGTGGCACAATGGAAAATGTTGCAGCTACCAGTTTTTCCGGTTACAAAGACAGATGGTTGAAACTGAGTTAAAACAACCTCCAGGTAAAGTCATGTAATGTTTATGGAAAAGTACTTTGTCTAAAACATTAAAAAATGTACCCAGGTAACTACTTCACAATTGATTAGAGATAAATGTCTGATGGATTATATTATATAATAAAGAGATGTAATTTAGCTGTAATTCTAACTAGCAACTTCCCATTAAGATGAGAGATGCAACTTGAACCCTTCCTTATAGATAGATGCACAGCTAACGAGATAGGGGAGGATGCGCAGAGACCTGGCAGAAAGTATTTTTTGTCTGAGGGTCCTGAAGAAACAAAAGAGCCTGAGGGAACACACCTATTGGCTTTTGCTTTAGCAAGAAGCTTCAGTTTGGTGTCTGCAAAGCAAGCAGCACAGTGGGACGTGTCAGACTCCTGCTGTGCACTCACAGACAAGTGGGAAAGCAAGCTACGGGGCCAAAAATGCAGTATCATCCTCCAAAGTATGAACCCGAGGCAGGGGAGGTGCTCCCAAGTGCTAGGAATGCTACTGAGAGACAGTGCTACTGAAATGGAGGTTTTCTAAGAAAAACCTGCCTGTAACCCACTGAGGGCAATTGCATTACTTGGCTGTCTTGCCAGCCCTTCCTGAGGAGCCAGAATCGATTTCTGAACAAACTGATTTAACAAAAAAATTGTATTTCCATTAGCATGGAGAAGGTAACCTTGTGAGGTCCATTTTGAAGTGTTGGAAGGGCTGCCCACCTGAGAGAGGTTTAATTTAAAGTTAGCCCCTTTCACCTGGGTCAGCCCCGGGACATCCCAGGCTGTAACCTTGCAGGAGCAGATGTGTCGAATGCTCAGAGTCTGTCAGCAAAACAAACATCACTTCCTTTGTCTTTCTGAAAAGACTACGGGAGACACTGCTTGTAAAACCCTTCCAACTCGCACTGCACTGTTGGAAACATCCTCCATGTCACACAACTGACAACGTTTGACTGAGAAGTGGACACCTTTCCTCATTAGTTCCCTCCCCCCTTGCCTAGGAGATGCTCACCTGGGAAAGTTTGGTTAGTAACTTTTGGGAGGAGGATACTGCATTTTTTTTTCCAAAGAGACAGACGCTGATGTTACAGACATACATAGATAAAAACTTACCTCCTCAAAAGTCATAGACCAACTACTGTTTTCAATCATTGGTACAAAGACAATTGAAAAAAAAAAAAAAAAGAATATCCAATGAAATTGCACACCAACTAATACAATTAGGAAATGGCAAGAACAAAAACAGACATTTGTTAATGTTATTTTGTTGTTTTTCCTTAGATGCTCCAAGTTCTCTCTATGACTGCAGACACTTGATGGGAGAAAGTATACTTCAGGCAACCAGTGGGCAAGTCTCAACTCAGGAAGACTGAAACTCTGAAACTCCACCCTCTCTACCCCGCTATTTGCAGTTTGCCTGACTGATGAAAATGTGGAACTGTTAGCAACTACGGTGTGAGTTGTTTACACCATGTTAATAAACTGGGTGGAAGGGACTTCCTCATATGAAAACGTCAGAAACCCTGCAAAATAGTTCATCTTTAGGCAACAGAATGAGATTGATGGGTAGAAAAAAATGCAAAAAACAAAACAAAACAAAACAAAAAACCCACATCTCATTTGTGTCTGTGTGGGGCTTAAGTTTGGGTGGAACAGGACAAGGAATGGTTAACATCATTTATTCCAAGATGAGAAACCACAGCAATGAGAACTGGCAATCAAAAGAAAATAAACTGAGTTTTACAGAAAAAAAAATGATAGGGAATGAGGCAGCTCTTAACTGTAGCTCAATATTTTGGGTGTGTT